CATAAAATTTTTTTCTATTTTTTAAAATTTGTGTCTCGAGTTTTGCGATATGAGAATTCTAAAACATTTTCAAATGCTTATATTTGAAGACCAGGTAAATAGACCGTTTTTTTCAGCTGCATATATGGCATATATGGGAAAGCGTAGGCCATGTTTATCATGAGGGAAAAAAATATAGATAAAGAGAAGCGAGAATGTGAAAAGCGCATCTGGAAAAAAACTGACCTAAATTATAGTTTTTTTTTCCATTGTAACGATATCATCGACTTCGTGCAACGATAATGAAATTAAACGTGGAAAATTGGAATATTTTAATTTCATGAAGTTTATCTTTTTTGTGTGTCTAGAAAGGAATGATTGAAAGGAGGATTAAATCAGAAATGTAAAGTGTGCAGGTTTTGAATGTGGAACAAACGTTCGCATAGAATTTTGCATAGAATGACATTCGCAGATTTTTGAATGGCGGTATATATGTTTCCGTATTGTAATACTTACTGTTCTGTTCAGAGATCCTCTCGCATCTCTTGTCCCAATATCGGCCGATATATGAACCGCGAGAATGGGTCGATTCGATATAAAATTGTTGCACGTTGAATTTAATCGTGCCAATATTCATGATCATACCAAAACGTTTCCTGATTCTAGCCGTCTACGCTAAATATATACTGCTTGTAAACGTTGTAACTATTTCCTTTCGATCGTCCCATTTCGCGGTAAATTACTTTCCTTTCTTCCAGCGAAATGAAAGAGGAGAAAATAAATGGGCTACAAAATTACCAGCTGACAGCTACCACTTTAATTTTACCTTTGTTCTTGCAATTTTTTTTTAAACTTGGCGTAACATTAATAATTTTATAATTACAAGTAAATGGAAATTACAGGAATTTATTTTTATGCTTCAGATCCGTAGGCAATCAAACTATGTTCTTTCATTAATTTCATGTTATTCTCTTGCATAAAACTCACAAAGTTCTAATTCGAAATTTATTTACAAAGATAACATCATTTTTAATATTAACATTTGCCACTCCTGTCGTTTTTAATTGATTTAATCCTAGATATTTAATAGATACATTTGATTTCGAATCAATTGCGAAAGAGTTGAATTGAAAGACAAAATTCTGCTCTAAGATGCTAAAAAATTTCAGACTTGTTTATATATTTTATATATAATAAATGGAAAAAAAATATTTGCGATTGTTACTTTATTTCTTGAAATAAAAAAAATAATAATAATAAGATCTTAAGATGTGAGAATAATAATAATTAAAGATACTAAGGGCAAATAAGAGTCGCTGAAGTTGGTATCCGATTAAATAAAATTTTGAACGTGGAAAATTGGAATATCTTAATTTCATGAAGTGTATCTTTTTTGTGTGTCTTAGATAAATACCGTAATTAAAGAATGATTGAGAGGAAGATTAAATCAGAAATATAAAGTATGCAGATTTTAAATGTGGAACAAACGTTCGCATAGAGTTTCGCATAGAGAGTAGAAATTCACATTAAAAAAATAGAAAAATTATAAATTACATAACTAATTTAATTTTTTTGCGCTATCTTTAATTTCATTATCAAGATCTTGTTAGTCGCGTTTTGGCCTCTTTAACATTAAGATAAATGTCTAGGCATCTCGAAACAGGCATAAGAGTCATCAACCAAGAGTTCTTAGATTCCGTAAGTATATAATAATATAATAAATATATAAATAATAAAAATAAAAAATAAATGATCTTTCGGATCTTTCGGATCTTTCTTGATGAATAAATCTTGAAGATGATGCAAACATCTGTTTGGAAAAAGAAGATAATATCATATTTTCTCGTAGGCAAAGACGCCATTTATTATTTCACTGACGCAGAAATGGGGTTTCTCGCGTAGTTTTACATGTCACCCTCGGATTTCGCGTGCAGCTGCGTGTGCCGCGCCAGAAAGTTGAAAGTTTTACAAGTTTTTCTTCTCATTTTGTTCGAACTTATTCCGTCACATTTAAAGTGCTAACATATCAACAGTGATATATTCCTTACATGACTATTACATGATTACACGCGGAATGTGTTTGCGAGTCTGTCCTACATCATCCGCAAAAAAAATAAATAGATCAAAAGAAATTAATAGAAATTCAATCTGAAAGAATCTCTAGAATTTTAGATATTAGAAATTAAAAGCTTTTGAATTCTTCTTAAAAGCTTTCATTTTTCATGAAACAACAACATTCTTTCTAACAAAGAAATAAAGGAAAATAAAAGATATTTTTATAAAGTCCTCCAATCTCAAGGATTAATAATTAAAAAGTTACAAAATGAGTTTCTATTAATTTCTCTTAATTAATCTTTTTATAGATTTACGTTACACGTCGATCCATCCACATTCCTTGCCTATCAACCCATGGAAATATAGTATACGTACGCGAAAGAGTCCATTTATTGCTATCTTACAAGATATCTCTTCGATCTACGTACGCGTGTGTACAATAACGTGTCAATCGATGTGTCTCCACGTGTACACATTTATGTCGCGTCTCCAATAACACAGAACTTGCAGCAATATTACGTTGCAACATTCTGAGCTGTTGGGGGATGTTTGTCGCGTAATATGCATGATTGTGCGGGTGAGAAGTCGGCCGGAAATGGAAGTACGCGATTCGTGGAACGATTCTGGAAGTACATTACTTCTCTCTTTTCTCTCTCCAAATGGAGAGAACCATTTTTTTGACGTTTTGCTTAACTTCTCTTGCATTTAGGCCGATACCTACTTGTTTTTGCAGTCCCATTCAATCTTCGCTTTCATACCCACTCTCTCATTCTCTCTCGATGCTCTTTCTCCTGCAACTCTCTCGTTACATTCAACGCAACCGCGAATTATATCGCTTACTCGAATTGTCATGTGAATCTCATCGAAGAGCGAATGAAGTACAAATTACTCTTACGCGCCAAGAGAGACATTTTCTCTTTTGTGCTGAAATTTATGTCGTCACACGTAACGAAAGAGTCAGTAGAAAATTTCTTCGTGTGTGCGTTACGCACGGTCATCTTGGTCTGTGATAAACTCTCGGCGACTGTAGAAAAATAAATTGCTACCGTATCAACGATGTTCGTTTTTTTTTCTTGCGTTTTTATACCGCGCACATTTATAATTCCTAGTGCTTTTATATTTTCATTTTGTCAAGTACCGCCATTATATAGACATAATATAATAGATATCTATACTGTCTCCGATGTATGTATATCTCGTGTGTTCTCTACAGATAACGTGTGTCCGGGGAGAGAATACAATTCTTTAATATTCCTAAAAAGACGTTGCCCGCGCTTAGATCGTTGATTTACAATGGAATAAATGATAAAATTATATGTCGAAACGTCACTGATAATCGGAAATGGTAACGCGAGATAACTTCGTGCCTCTGCCAACATCTTTCTCGTCCGCTTTCTGAAGATTCTCTTCATCTCCTTGTATATCGGCGACGAAATCGTAGCTCGAAAATTTTATTTCGAGTTACGTGTAGATCAGACGAAAGCTGAACTATCTCGAGCTAATAATTTTTCGAGTAATAATTTTTTGATTATTGCTCGTACCAAGAAAAGTTCTGTTATCAATGGGATACCGAATTCACGACACAGAGTTCAGAAATTGTTTCTCGCAGCTTTCGCGTCTGATCAATGCACATTTGGAGAAAGAAATTTAGCTCTAGAATAATGAAGAATTTGATCGCTTGTATTACATTATATTAGTAAACATTGCAAACAAAAGCTGCTTTATGTAAAATGGATAGTATAATATAATCAAGTTTGATAATAAAATAATATATATTCTGTTAAATAACAGAATGTCAATATTATTATGGAATATAAACATATATTATTGGATTAATCATTTAAAATATTTATTATGTTTTTATATTTAATTTTACTAATTTTATGTCAGAAAATTTGTGTTAATTTAACACAAGATAAATATGTTAGACAGTAATACAAACATTATATAAAAAAATTTATATAAAAAATGTAACATTAATTGTAATTTGTAATCAAACCATGGAAGTGTATTTTTTTTCTGTAAAAGTTAACATTTGATATTTTAAATTAATACATATTTTATTCATTTATCTTAGAATTTAAAATATATTTTTGTTATTTATTCATAAATTGTGTCATTTTGACACCGAGAACTGTTGAATATTTTAACATAAAATATTTAATAATCACATTATGTTAACACTTGGTGTATGTCAAAAATTTAACACATCTTAACAAAGACTTGACGAACCGGTTTTAATATAAAATGTTTCTTGCATAACATAAATACAAGATATTTATGTACAGTAGCTTTACAATAGTATACACGAATGTAATGTAATGCAAGTGACCAAATTCGCTATTAATACTTATCACACACGAAGTGAATTACCACTACGTTAGTTATTCAGATTCTCTCGAAACGGCCGCGGCGTTCCATCTGTATCATTATATTACACTTTACCTTTGTTAACGATATTACATCTGTTCTTCTCCCTATACGGATCTATTGCTATTTACACGGCGACATCAAAATATCATTTCATTTGCGTTTTCAAACCTGCGTGTTTTCTAAATCTATTACTTGTTTTTTTATTTCGAATATACCCTGTACGAGTTCAATGCACCCTCACCGTTCGTAAAACACGTGCGCACGCCCTCGTGCGTACGTACGTGCGTGCGTGCGTGTGTGCTTGCGAACGTGTGACAGATAAATAGTCGACGGCAGCTGTATGCAAACTTCTCCCATCGCGATAATCAATGACGAATGATATGACGACTTGCGGACAATCGCGAACGATTCCGCTCCTCTTCAATTCCTTCTCGTCCTTCTTCCGTGC